AAAACATATAGGAAGTTTTATTTCTCATTTCTCATGATATTCTACTACGTAGTAACGGCTACATCCATCAATTTATTAGATCTGTGAACCCTTCATATCAGCCTTTTGATCGCATTCTTATATAATTACAGGTAGAAAACTGGTAAATATTAGGTAGCAGTCAGGTAGCAAATAACATCAGAAACAATAACAAAATACTAGGAATAATTTTAAAGACCCTCAATATGTAAGATGTAGATGCATATAAAAACATTAACATATCTGTTAGAATTAGTATTAATTATCTCCTGATGATGGTAACTTGGTTAGCGAAATGCGCGTCGAGGGACACTATATTTCAAAATAGATTAATTTTACGACAGACATTCCAAATTATACATACTTATCAAGTCAATGATAAATGTTCGTGTGTCTTCCTAATGAATCAGATCCTCGAATAAGAGAGCTGATGAGCAGGTTCTCTTAGGAAAAAATTAATGAATTAAAAAATTTGAAAATATTTCAAAGACGGTTCTCAACAAATTTCGATTATTTATATGGGCAAAATAAAACTTTGTGTAGGTTTAACCTATACAATTATTACATAGCTTTCAAAATTTCATCATATAATTTTATGTTGGTTTTTTTACAAATTGAATCATAGAATTGGCAGTAATCAGTCATATTGCCCCTTAACTATTTTTCAAATTTCGTGTTTTTGCACGGAAGGTATACTACATCTTATTATAATTTCATTTGTTCACCCCCACTGCAAGGAGAAGGGCATATATGTGTCAATGACATTAGTGACAAGTATAAGTTTAGGAGTAAAGGAATGATGATAAGACTTTGTTTATATCTTCGATCACTTTCGATCTTTTTGAAAAATGAATTGGAATTATTTCGGTCATCAGTGAGTTTTAATCTTGAAGAAAGACAAAACAATTTCAATTCTTTTTTCGAGCGATATCAAAGAGGTCGAGATAGTAGGAAAACGGATAAGATTGAAGGATAAAAGGATGTCATACCCAAATGCAAAAGTTCAGAGAGTCCCATTCCGAATTTAGTTCTGCTCTCATTAACTCCTTCATACTTCTAAACGGTTTATTCAATAAAATCCTGGACGGAATCATCATCACACAATTCAACTTCAACTAGCATAAACATAAAAGAAATGAATGGCACATCATTATCCGCGATGTGTTGATTTGATGAACAAAACGCGGGAAAACAGTTGATATGTTAAGAATAAATTACGTTTCATTAAACATGAAAGATATATTACATATGAGCCAACTACAAATAGCATGATATACTCATATATACCTGGCATTAGTAGGATTTAGGATAATTCAGAAAAAGCTTAAGTATTATTTTCAAATGTTTTTCAAAGGGAAATTCAAGATATAACCAACTCATTTCCACAATGTCATAAAGATAATATTTCGCGAACCTTATTGCAAGATTCAATAAGGTTCACTGAATATTCTGTCATTAGCTACGTTTTTTTGGTATGATTCCGATACAGGAATAACCATTATAATACTTTCATGCTTTCTGGTTCCTCTTTTCTTGTGGAATTGTTATTAATAGTCAATGTTATTCTGGGTTTCTTTGGGTACTCATTTATTCGAAGGAGATTGAAAAACTTCACATAAAGGTTTTTTGGCGATCTTCTGTTTCAGAAATATTATTTTTGAATGACGAGAAGATTCGGAATACGGAAAAAAATGTGTATTTTGTTTCTTGAATATTTCAATTTAAACTGATCTTCACAAATTTTCTTTTCAAAAAGTATATCACGACATGTTTGGCTATTACAGTAACTTTTTCGCAGTGAATGACAATTCTACATACATTTCAACATATTTCATTTGTAATTCAAATTCGAAATTTTGAGGTTAATCATGAACTTCCGAATTCGAATTCATAATCTCGTACTTGAATTTATAAAGAGTATGTTATTCATTATGAAAACATGTAGTGATATTTTCGAAAATACAGTTTGTGAAGATCCAATCGTTTCCAGTGTAGTTTGTAAAATTACTATGGATCTTCATCAAGTAACGACCGAGTCAATCAGAGAATTATAAAGAAAACGATCAAAACATTTTGTATTTTATTTTACTTTCCAAAAATTCAACCATGTTATTCATTTTTCCAACATTATAAGATCTTCAAAAAACTGAACATTAAATGTTCCAACGTAAACAGTACATCCTCAATATCACTGTGAATATTTTTTATAGCTGACAATAGCTTAAATGGCTATGTTGTGGCACACAGTGCGTCTACAAATCTTAATCTCTATATGACCATGTTTTCGCTTGGCATTTTTATCTCATTACATTTATTTTTATTGGGAATTCGAAATAAATAACATTATTATTATTTTTTTCAGCGAAGGGTAAGCTGCTCTGGCCCTAACTCCCGAGGCCCCGATACATTCGAGAGGACGCGCCAGCATCAACCAGTGACCACTCCCCACACCGCAAGGTAAGTGATCATTGGGTCCGAGAATCATGTGCCCTAAGGGCCAAGAGTGACAGCCTTCTGCATTTGTTCGGCCAAGAGTTTTGCCTTCGGGAGAAGAAATCCATCATTCAACCAAGGACTCCAATAATCAGAAAAACAATCTCAACAGAATGGTCTGGGTCTCGCTCTGATGGTCGAGAAGAAATATATCAGGTTTATTACATTCCTATATCAGGCATATTAGTTTGAGGGTGGGAAATGAATAGTTTTGATAAATGCGGCATTTATTATCGTTCCCCACAACGAGTACAATATCCCCAGGAGCGTTGGGTAACACCGGTGTCTCGTTAATACCGTAAAAGTGCCATAGATGGTAATGAAGCACTCTTAAGGCCTTGTTATGTCGATGAATATAGGCTGAGACCGCATATGCTGACAGCAAGTGCATTACGGTCTCAGGCGCCTCGTGGCAAGCCCCGCACCTCGTGTCTAGAACCTCTATACCCTTCACTCGCCTGCGGTGGACTAAGGTGTTGAAGACACCATGATGAACCTCTCGAGGTTTTTAATGTTGTTGAAGAAGACTCATGAATTGGCTTATCCTTGTGTTGCTGCAGAAGTGAGGAGATCTCTGCGGAGATTGTGATCACCTTGTTCAGTGTCGAATACTGAACTAATAATAACTATCAAGTATTACTATTTATTGTATGGGATCACCCCTTTTATTCATTATTAATATTCTCTACATGGTCCCAGATTTGTTTTGTAGTTATTTCCACAGGTCTTGTTCAGTAAGAAAAGGTATAAATGTTCAGTATAAAAATGCTCATTCCACTCTAGTCTCTACGAAATCACTCATCAGTTGAATAAGAAGAACAAGAAACATTTATCTAGCTGGTATTTAAGTTTCAGTGTCAGTACGACTGACGATTCATCAGAACAATAAATGTGCTAAAAAAGTAACTAGTACCTTCAATGAACAATCTGGTATTTCATTCTGATGTATCAGTTGTGATGAGAATATTTCTGCAGGGGGTTGGATAGCGAAAAAAATTACCGAAATTCAGCACTCAATGAGGAGTGAAGTGGTACAAATTATGGTCATATTGAGATGAATTATAACACATAAAATTAATTAATAACTCTCCTTACGTTCTTACACAGAAGGATCTGACAAATACCTGCAGTAAAACAACTTCTTTCTCGGCTAATACCATGATGGACATTGAATTACTTCTCTTACACAGAAAATACTTGCAATTGTCTAGCCAGCAGCAAGAGATCGCTGAAATTAATGTAGTGATCACCTACAGACTGGTTTTGGGGAAATTCAGAACAAATTAGGTGTGTTTCTGCAGATATTTGACAGATTCTACTGTGTAGGAACAATGTGAATGTCTCGAATTTCCTTTCGAATTATTTATTTTCTTAATACGTATCCATCTCTGCTTGAAGCAGTCGTCAGACTTTTTTCCACCTGTATAGCAAAACCTGAATCTGTTGAAGATTTATAAACTAGAGATACTATTAGGTGTGGTTTAATAACAGATAATATATGCAGGCGTTATGAAAATCAGTTTTAATTCTGCTTGAAGGTTAATGGAGGTTAGTTTCAACATTTGAATTCAACATACGGTCCTCCTCATTTTTTGAAAACAAAAAAATGCAAAATGAAATCAAGGCCATACAGAAATACATTTTAATCAAACTATCGACCAATTTTACTAAGGGAAAAAATGTATGGTTGAAATATTTACAAAAAATCATTTCATGTCCTGGTTTCACATATTACTATGGAAATGAGAAATAACGATAACAAATAACGTATAATCTTTGAGCAGTAAGCTCCGGCGACGTCGACCTCAAATTATTCAAAGAGCCTAAAAACGAAAACGAAGTTGACCGGCCATTCATCATTATCCAATGTTTACTTATTTCATCTTTTATATCTGATCTACACCGATTAGTTTCATCCATCAAAAAACAAACGTGTCGTCAACATGTCGTAGTAGACCCGATGAATTAACAAACGGTTTGATGAGACGTCAATCGATTAACACCGATGATTTCAAAAAGTTGACCAGGACTGAATGAAATATAAATTGATTATATGTGTATCATATTGTTTGAAATTTAGTGCTCGTATCCTTTCAATGACGTCACAAACATGGCATCGATATTTTTTGATAATCCGTACACCTTCCTGTAAATTAAGCCTCTGAGTTTCGATCATATACTTAATCCATAATCCATAGAATGATGTATAATTATTCTGTGCTCAATCCCGTCTAGTAGACGGAGTACAGCAGAATATTATCACATGATAATACGTTTATGAACGATTTAGAGTAACATAATAATACTCTGAGTAACTTTATGGCCGCAAATCCGGAAAGCCTATTATCACAGTATACTTATACAAGTTATACTGTGCTATTATTGTGGTTTTTATGGGCGTCAGCCGTCGTCATATACCCAACTAAAAAGCCTACTTGAACTTCAACTTCAAGTATGCTTGAGTAGTGAAAAACGAAAGAAGAAGATTCATTGGATGTAACACATTGACACTGACATTTGATGAATACAAAAACAAATAATAATGAAGGAGTCAATTTGAATTGATATTTTTGTAGATCCTTATTTTATGAATTATGGCACATAAAATGGATGAACTCAAACAAAAACTTCTGATACTCATCAATAAACAGGTGCTTTTAGAATAAAAATGATTGAGTAGTTTGTAAAAGAAACTGATTCAGAAGGTATTCATGGAAAATAATATTTGTGTAGATCCTTATTTTATGAATTATGGCACATAAAATGGATGAACTCAAACAAAAACTTCTGATACTCATCAATAAACAGGTGCTTTTAGGATAAAAATGATTGAGTAGTTTGTAAAAGAAACTGATTCAGAAGGTATTCATGGAAAATAATATTTGATTTTAGCCTCCAAAAATTCCATCCATGGGCTTCAATGATGCAAATTATCATTTTTCGCAAGTAACAAATTTATCTATTAACAGTAAAACAGTAACAGATGTTGATAGGCCTGCAGATCAAGACATACTGGAAAGTATTCAAGCAGCTTATTTTTCGAAAGATGAAGCGTTTGACATCTGCAGATTCGAATTGAAAGTAAATCGTATTTCTTTTTTATGTGCACGTTCTTACAAAAATTGTTTCAGAAACTCCCAGAAGTTCTTGATTGTGATCAGATACAACGGGATTTCAAAAATTTAAAGCAGCAACATCAGGTTGTGTCAAAGAAAGTATTGCAGTTAATTTTGGAGAATCAAACTGGGTGTAACGTTGAATTTGAGAAAGTGACCGAAATTCTTAATGAGGTTAGAGCCACCTTGGAGTTATGTAGAATTAGCAGAAGAGAGTTGAAAGTTGCTGGAAGTCAGTTCAGTGCTTGTTTAGGGATTCTGGCTAATTATAGAAAAAGGAAAATAGCACAGAACTTATTGAATAATTTGATTATGATAAAAAATTTGGTAGGTTCTTTCAACTATGGCATTTTAAAAGTTATTTAGAGGTTTGAAAGATGTTATTTTTAATGTGTGGCAATTTTCAGCATAGCTTTGATACAAGATGTCAAATATTAATGAATGATGAAAATTATGTGGCTGCAATAACAGAACTGAAAAGATGCCAGAAAATTGCTACAAAATACAGGCATTTCAGTTGTGTAGCTGCCCTCACTTATAAATTACAAGAAACTTTGGAAAATACTGATGCTCAGTTAGACCGTGTATTAGCACAGGTAACATTAAAACAGGACCATTCAAAATCGAGTTTATGAATGGGGATCAGACTAGGGGATAGAGAGTCAGTTAAATTAGGGCAAAGTTGCCTATTTTAGGTCATCATCTAGATCGTTTGATTCCAGACATAAATGGGAAAAACAGATTGAACTTTGCCACAGCAACTGCCAATAGAGTATCAGGATATGTTCATAGAACTTTTAAACAAGTTGTTTTTTCATTTGGACCTTCAGCTTTGATATTTTGAATAAGCATCTGTATTTGCTCTAACAATTTTTTATGAACACCTGTATTTCAGCTCTTAGGTATTCGATGAGTAGAAATGAGTAAAAAAATGCAATTTGAGATCATTGAAAAATATGAATGGGTATTAAATGAAAACTAATTGGTATGAAATTCACGTTCTGAGAGAATCTTATCTTTTCTAGATTGAAGCTTAGACAAAGTTCCTCAGAAGAGAATGAAGAATGATATTTGAAAAATTCACCTTAATATCAGAAACGCGTGAATAAAAATGTGAAATGTGAATAAATAATTTTAGGCTATAACATCTGGCTGGAGTTAATTGGCAGGTCCTAATGAACCACTCAGTTTCCAACCTCACCCCTCTCGACCTGAGGAATGGGAAGATCAGGCGTTTTGATAAGCCGAAAACCTCAATGCATTGGCAAGCGCAATGAGCCGAGAATGACAACCTTCTGCATTTGTCCGGCTAAGATTTCTGCCATAGTGCGGCAAGTTGGCATGATGTTAAGATTCTAGAGTAGATAATGATCATTCCACCAAAAATCCCAATAATCAAAACAACCATCTCAACAGAGTGTTCTGAATAGCGTTTGCGGAGTTCAACGAAAATATTTCGAAACATCATCACCAAAAACTGAAAACTCCACAACGAATATGTCATCAGCAGATCAACTGGTGAACAGTTTAGTTTATGAATTGAAGGGGTTATATTTTTAGGAGTGAATAATTTTTGGGAAAAAAGTTTAGTTTATCTTCCGATGATGCTAACTTGGTTAGTGAAACTTGGGTAGGGAACAGTGTTGCAGTTCTGGTGTTTGGTAGCAGTGCTTGTTCTCACCTTCATATAAGTTTCCAAATTAGGAGCGATGAATCAATTTACAAGGCATAGTAAACATTGGCACATTATTTTTTTATTGATTACATGCTTTGAAAGGATTATCTGCAGTGCTCATTCAACACAATGACAGGCAAACTGGGTGGGACAAAAGTTCATAAGTTTTACTTAAAATTTTGAAAGTTTACGTGGGGACTTCACCGGAAAAATATATTTAAGTTACCGATGCAGGGACTAAGTTATGTTTGCATTTGTGTGATTTATGAGGCCATAATAAAAAAAACATAATTTACCTGATGATCATCAAATTTATAAAAATTGCAGGAATATTGGGAGATTTCAATTTCTGAATATTAAATGAAGTTTGTTTATCCCAATATAGGTCTGTATTCAAAATACTAGCGTTGAGGGTGGCCCAACTCTTATGACACCCTTTGTAAATATATTGTGATGATATTCTGATAGCACTTGGAAAGTTCCTGTGACGAAGTTCAAACTGATTGTTAATATGTTTGCGAGTAAAAAACATACAGCCAAAGCTAGAATTTTCAACTCCGGTTATATATCATGATCCAGAAAAGCTTGAGCTGGTATCAATTGATGGTACTGCAAAATTTACCACTATTTAACTGACGCTGTATTTCCTACTATTTATTCAATTTTTTTTTAAACTGTTAAAACGTTTCATTTACTCAGACAATTCAAATCTACTAAAATTATTTCAGACTTGTTTCCATTTTGATGGAGATCGATATAGGAAACTTCAAGCTGCCTATAATCTTCTAGAAAAATCGAGTTTATCTATGATTGACAATTTGCATGTTCACTATATAACTGCAATTTATAATTCATCATTCAATGTTGTTCAGTCATATATTTCTTCACCAGACATACTGGAATCAAGTGAAAATAGTGGAAAAAATCCATATAAAATCTTATGCCAGGTAGGTGGTTTCTATTTGCAATAATTCTCGAATTGTAATGCCACATGTGATGTTTTATTTAAACTTTCTGCTCCTGATGTCTCTTAAAGCACTTTTTGATTTAAACTCTACAGGAAAGTAGTTTCCTAGTAGTTAGTTAGTGTAATTATAAAAACAAACTAATTTTCATGAATTTGTTTTTTGAAAGGCGACTTTCTATCGTATGTCACCCATATTTGAAATAACGCCATCAAGAAACATGGAGAGTCAAGAGCTGTTGCGCTTGATATTTCTAAGACCTTTGACCATGTGTGGAATGAGGGTTTGTTGGCCAAACTTCGATGCTATGGCTTGTTGGATCATTTTTGTGTATGGCTCTTCAGCTTCCTGAAAGAACGTTCTCTGCAAGTGGATGTCGATGGATCTCTCGAATACTTTCACAATCAACGCTGGTGTTTCTCAGGGATCCATATTGTCTCCAATATTGACTGCGGAAGCACATCTTCACTGGCAGCAGGAGGTTGAATATCTTAACGAGGATCTAGAAATAATTTCGAATTGGGGTGAAAGTAACCAGATTTATACAGACTGTTCAAAAACCAAAGAAGGCTCAGGATGCTCAGATCACTAAGCCTAAGTATTGAGTGGGGAATGGGAAGAATGGACGATGACCTAGGAGGGCAACTCCTCAAGAGGATGTACAATGGGTCACATGTAGCCTAAGTGCGTGGGCTTACACTCACCCTCCTTACTCTACCGATTCAGAACCAGGTTCAATTCAATGCCACAAAAACCCTAGGCATCGGTTTTCTCCAAGAAGATAAATGTCTCCGAACCAGATATAAAAAATGAGGTCAGATAATTCCCCTTTCTGCTTCGATAAGATTGTTGGGAGTTAAAATGGACACCAATATGTCTTGGCACAATCATTTCGCTGGAATTACAAAGGCTGCTTCTCAAAAGCTTGAAACACTGTTCCGAACCAGAAAACTGTGTACACCTCAGCAACTTTTGATGGTTTATAAAGCTCAGATCAGACCTTCTTTTGGAGTATTGTTCTCATGTATGGAGTTCCGCCCCCAATCATACCCTGAAGTTGCTGGATTCCACCCAGAAAAGAGCTATCCCCCTGATTGGAGACGCGAACATCACTTGCAACCTTGATAGTCTGGAACATCGAAGAAAGGTTGGAAATTTATCTCTCTTCTATAGATACTTTCAAGGGAAGTGTTCAAGTGACTTGGCACATTTGATTCCATCAAGAGCGGTACATATCAGAAATCCGCGAAAGACTGTGGCTGCTCATCGTTATTAGTTTCAACTCAGTACACATTGAACTTCACTATTTTCACAGCTTCACGTTTTTCCAAATGGATTTAATCTCCAGCGATTCAAATCAATGTGAATCACTACTTTCGCACAGGCACCGCTCTAATAGAGCCTTGAGGATTTTCCTGTAGTGCTTGACATTTGTCCTTATCATGAGACACAACTTGAATAATTTTTGAAAACTTCACAATAACAGGACTTTCGTATAAGAGCATGACTTCCGTTTTAAAATTCTTAAATCCCTCGGAAGTTGAAAAAAAGTGATAAACTTTTGAGTAAGTGAATGTTAAGGTTTAGATAATCAACAACACTTCATTGAAATATAATCTTTTTTCTTAATGATTAAGAACAGTAATTACTAGTATTTTCCCCCCAAATGAACTCAACTCTTGAAGACTTTATATCTAATTATTAAATGTGGCTAATTATGTTTCCCTTGCACAAATTCTCAAATTGTGCTGCATATTTCATCTTGAATACAATTTTAATGAAACATATTTTTATTTTCAGTCCATTAATCAAAACGTATTCATAGGCTGTCTAGTGCATCTTTGTAAAATTCTTTTTAAAATAGTTCTCAGTTATCGTCAGCTTGTGAAGTGGCACAATAACAGCGAAAATGAATCTCAAACAGGAAACGATAATTTCAATATTGAAAACACAATGAGCAAACAAAAATTAGAACACAACTTGGTGAAAATATGGGATGATGTTCAGAGGAAAGTGTCTAGTTTGCTTTTGAATGCTGACTTGGCCAGTTATAAATTTGATCAGTTTGTGCAAATATTGAGAGTAGTTCAAAGGTGAGAAATAATATTTTTTTCATATGTATACTATCATTTTTGAAAAACGGATAGACCTGGTTCAGAGCTTGTTTTTCCAATTATCAGAATGAATTGAATTGATAATATCCACCTCATAACCATAACTCTAACTTACTTTGGTGATCCTATTAATAGCATCACTCGTTTTTTTTAAACAAAGAATTGGACGTAGCCTACAGAACAAATAATAACTTCAGTAGATTCATTAAAAACAGAGATAAAACTCTAGTTTCGGATAGATCGGAAGTATATAAGTTGACTTGTGGTACTTGTCCTAAATTTTATATTGGCCAAATCAGAAAAACTTATTACAATGGAATAAAAGAGAATAGAAGATGTTTTTTGAATGAGAAGACGAATTCAACATTTGCAAAGCATCTTCTGACAAAGGTTCACAAGTTCAATCACGATTATGACATATTCTATTTGTTGGAGAAATGTTCAAAACACAACCTTTTGGAATGCTTTGAAATCAATAGATTCAACAATTCGGGGTTATTGCTCAATGATCAAATAGCTTTGAATTGTTTCCCTTCATTGAATTTAGTTTGCAATGAGGAAATTGGTAATTAGGATAGATCTTGAAAGTAGATAAAATCAAGTCTCTGGTGAAACTTGTATTCATTATTCTTCAGTGTAATGAGTTGTTTCTAAGCAAGGTAAATATTTTATGTATTGGATTTATAAGGTAGAAAGTTTGGACTAACCTATCAATTAGTGTGGTATTAGTTAAAAATGCCAACTTAGTACACAGAAATCAAAATTGAAATTTATAGTTTTGGGTTATTAGGCTGTTGTCTAAAAAATAATTGAATAAACTAGTAATAAAAAATAAATAACATAACTGAAAATATAAGAGAAGATAAATAAAAAAATGCTAATTTGTGAAAAAAACAAATTATTGTGTAATACCTACATAACACCAGAAAGTTCGTGTATCTGATTTAAGTATTCGATTTTTAGACAAACCAAAAGGCTGATATACAAACATTTTTGTATTGGACTGATAAACATGCAAAAGTCATACGTGCGACATGTTTTAAAATATTCTTTTTTTTGTATTCCCTTCTTTAAATTTCAATATGTGCCTTTGCTTTACAAAAAATCACCTTCCTTCTTATTCAGCTTCACTTCTTCATGATTTGATTCCGTAACATCAAATTCATTGTAGACCATCACTTCATCTCTTCTGGCAAAAGTCTCGGCTTCTGTTATTCTTTCGGGTAACGAATTATATCTTAAAACCCCAAATGAATTGTAACAGGTAATTATTTCAGGAAAAAAAGCCGCTGTCTGTGAGAGTGTGCAGGAGAATCCGAGGCAGTCGATTTCGAGTCGCTCACAAAAACTCGGCCTTTCGCAGACCACAACTTGGCGAATTTCGCGTCGTGACTTGGGCCTGCACCCGTACAAAACTCAACTGACCTAGTAACTGAAGGTGAACAACCATAGACAACAACGTGTATTCTCTGTGAGGGCTCTAGAGCAGTTGGCAACTGACCCTGAGATCCATCGAAAAATCATCTTCAGCAATGAGTCTCATTTCTGAATGAATGAGTACGTGAACAGACAATATTGTCGAATTTGGGACAATACCAATCCACACGAGATCCAAGAGCGTCTAATGCATCCCGAAAAAGTCACTGTTTGGTGTGGATTTTGGGCTGGCGTCGTCATCGGTCCATATTTCTTTGAGAACGACCTTGGCCAGGCCATAACTGTCAACGGCGAGCACTATAGGTCGATGATTACATACTTCCTTTGGCTTGAACTGGATGATGAATTGGACACCAACGACATGTGGTTTCAACATGACGGCGATGCGCCGACCACACAGCTCATGCCACATTGGATATTCTGCACGAGCGAAGTGAGGGCACATATCTGAGGGGGACTATTTTTTAGGGTACATGCAAATTGATGAATACATTAATGTATATTGATAAAAATGAAAATTCACCGAGATCGTGCGATTTGACCCCGTTAGATTTTTTTTTGTGGGGTTTTCTTAGGTCGCAGGTGTATGCGAATAAGCCACAAACCACAGCAGTCCTTTAAAGCCAACATAACCCGTGCGTGCCATCGTTCAAATTCAGCCTGATTTATGCGCCAGTCATGGAAAATTGGACGTTTCGGATGTGTTCCCCCTAGAGAAGCCGTGGCGGACATTTGAACGATGTTATATTCCACATCAATAGATCTTTCAAACGAATGAAAAATTTCAGTGATATCTCACAAGTACTTTGTTTTATTTAAATTTAAAGATAGGAAGTGCTTAATGAAAGATTCTATATACACACATACATACACATACAATTTTTTATACATACATACATATGTTAACATGTTTGTATTTGTAGGAGTGGATAGGTTTTTCATGATTTGTCTTGGCACAGTTTTATTTTTCAATGCATTTGTCAGTTTATTCAAAAGTTTAATCATTTTTTTATGTCATATGTTATGATAAAACAACTAGAAACTGTTATGGATGTTTTTAGGTTGATACTTGTCGGGGAAGAATTTTGTTCAAGTAAATCCGAAGATTTACAAGAATCAATAAGAAAACAGAGTGTTAATTATTTCAAGAATTACCATGCTCAAAGGTTAGATGAGCTGAAAATATTTTTAGAGAATGAGATGTGGGAAATTTGTCCTGTGAAACCATCATTTGATATTCTACAACTACAGGTCAGCGTTATTCAACAGATATTTTTTATAATTTTGAGATGTGTACATAAAATGTTCTATGATAACTTTTCAAACTTGAATTTGCGTTTTTCTGCATTTTTCTTTCTGCAGGAATTCAAATCATTTCGGTATTCCTTGAAGAATTTTAAATTCAATCCCCAAGTGAGTCCCACAATGATCAACTATTCAACAAATTCAACAGAGTGCTGCTCTTCCAACCATTCTCAAGATGGAAGTAGTATTGTAGGTAACTATTTTGTAAGATATGCTGATCATGGAACACCTTTTGACTCTCGTTTGGATGAAACAATTATTGAAGAAGACATATTAGCTTCTGAAAATGATGGTTCGGGATACTTTTCCGAAGATAGTGAAGAGGAAGAACCAGAGGAACTGAGAAGGGATTATGTAGATGAAGAAAATGACAGTTCAAGGTAAGGAGCGTCTGTATGGTAGTCAAGCAGATAAAATCGATTATGATTTAAACGACTGTTGAAAAGATTTCAGGGATATTTTCATTAGAAGACAGACATCACAAACACTAAAAAATTGAATATTTGTTTACTCTCTGATATTTTTCCTCAATATTACTTTCCAGTCTTTTAAATCACATGTAATTATACGTGGACTGATCAAAAAATAAGGTGAATGTTCAAATTTTGCGGGCTACATACATTCGATAAGCGATTTTTTATTTTTGTATATTGCTACACTCGTCTCGAACATATGTTCACAGTTTTAGCTGTTTAGTTTGTTGGTGAGAGGCATAAAAGTTAGAAGTGTTTTGCCTGTTCGGCGATTTACTGCTATCGAAAAAAACTGATCAAAGAATTTGCGTAAAATTTTCTGTAAAAAATGAAATTAAGTGCTCAAAAATACTGTTTGATGTTGACACTGGCTGGCATACGGTGGTTGTATTCTGAGTCAGAAAAATGTTCAAAAGAGGTACAAGGTTTTCACAGAAGGTCGAGAAGATGTGAATGACAATGCTTGCTCTGGACGCCCAAGCACATCAACAGCTCATGAAAATATTGAGAAAGTGAAGAAAACTGTTATGAAGAATCGTCGAATCACTATTAGACAAGTTGTTGAGGATGTCAGAATATCAGCTCATGCTACGCAATTTTTTCGGAAATCGCTTGTTCGTAATTTTTTGGCCAAAAACAACACCGTAATCATGCCTAAGCCACCGTATTCACCAGATTTGGTGCCCTGCGACTGTTTCCTGTTCCCATGATTAAAGAAACCTGTGAAAGGACGGCGTTTTGCGACGATTGAGGAGATACCGAAAAGTGCATATCAGAACTACATATACTTGTGCCTGCAACACAGGCACAAGTATATTATATCTGAGGGAGACTATTTTTTTAGGGTGCTTTATGCAAATTGATGAATTCATTAATGTATATTGATAAAAATGAAAATTCACCTTATTTTTTTAACATACCTCGTATATGATAAAATGATTAGAAGTTCAAGGCTTTCAATTACAATAAAAAAAGTAATATTTGGATAAACATTGTTTTAGATTTCTAGTGAAATGTGTCTCATTAAAAAACTGTGATTTATATTTATATTATTAAGGATACGTGGAGAGTGTGTAATAAACCTTCTCGTATAACTGTAACCATAGGGTTTGAAAGTATCTTGAATAATCATTTGAAATATGAAGATCCTATTTTAATGACTTGTACCTAATGAGAGAGATTTTTCATTTCAGACGGCCTGATAAGAAAGAAAAACACCATTATAAATGTCCGATATTGACAAATACAACTCTTTCTATACTTAGACAAATTGGAAAATATATCCAGATGTCCAGGCTTCTTCAACCCATTGCCTATCAGATCATATCTTGCATGAATCAGTTATTCGACTACTACCTCTACTCGGTTCACTTGTTTTTTGCCAAAGATCTGGTGAGTATTACAGTGTCGTGCGAAGTTAGAGACTATGCCAATAAGATTAATTGATTGGCTTGTCGCAAGATAGTTTTGAGAAGGGTAAACCAAATACAAAACTCCAGTCGTATTTGACTGTTCATGAAAACTGACTACTAGGATTGTAAAATTATAAATACTTACTACCTATTCCTTTTTGAGCATTTTTGGAAAACTTGCAGTGAAACCTATACAATTTTGACATATTTTTTTCAAAAATTACACCTCACGATTTGAGTGATTTATAAATCTCTTGAAAAAGCTACTGTGCTAGAGAAACATGTTGTGATATATTTTTAAAAATAAAGTTTATAAAGATCAAATCGTGAGCTAGCACAGTAGCTTTTTCAAGTGCTAGCAAAACATGTGATATAGTTTTCAAAATAAAGTTTGTGAAGATCAAATCGTGAGGTGTAGTTTTTGAAATTATCATGGACCTACATCAAGTAACGGGCGAATCAATCAGAAAATTTTGGCATAATTGAAGCACTGACAACTAGACAAAAATCAGTATATTCTTATATCTAGCCAAAGCATTTGATTTTCGCCAATCAATTATCTTTTATGTAAACTTGGAAAATTTTGGAGCAGGGGTTTAGCTTGAGAAATGGTTCAAATTGTTTAAAAATAGAAAAAATGTAGAAATCAGTAATAGTAAGTATGGCGTGCTAAATGTAGGTGTAGATCAGAAGATCTAGAAAGGTCCAATATTATTTAAAGTTAACACCTCAAGTTCGAAAATTGATCAAAGTTTTCCAATGTCACATTAACTTCAGTGTGAAACGTCTCAATATGTAGCAGAAAACAACAGTCAAATCAAGAGCATATATAACTGATACACGAAAGTACTTAGAAAAACTATGGCCATCCGCCATAGGAACTAATCACTTGAGATTGTTGTTTGTGAACACGAAAATTTTATTATGTGTACTCACCCAATAGGCACATTTTACTTTATGTGAAATCGGCATGTAATTTCAAAAATACTGGCAAAAAAATGTATCTGAGTGAATCCGATGATTTACGAAACAGCCTCAAAGAAGCGGTTCAGCAAAAAGGGGTGTGACGTCACCAGATATATGAAATATAGAATCGACTAGGAATTGCAGATTTTTGTATGTGAGCAGTGTGAAAGTTAAAAATTAGTTTTTAGTTTTTTGTATTCATCTGTCTCTGTTGTGAGAGTATGGAGAATAAAAAAGCCAAAAAAAATTATTGTACCTACAACTTATACTTTTTTTTTTTACATTTTTATAATGTTCGTTTTTGGCCGAATAAATTTCCAAAATATTTAAATATGTGTATGAAAACAAATTATAATCTGCAGAAGTCTGTCAAATAATATTGTTTAAATTACAAATTATTTTTTTTTCATTGAAAATTGCAAAAGCCCTACAAACTGTTAATTCCACTAGTTATATAATTTTATATCGCGCATAAAATTTGCAATCATGTAAAATGTAAGAGTTATGCTTCGTTTTCTTGATATATCCAGATTTTTCCTTCAAAAGTTTTTACTATCTGCCAACAACAAGTATTTATAATTTCTTTCAACCCCACCCCATCCTAATATTCTATAAGTAAGTTGACTGAACTATCAAATGATTCATATTTATTCATTGTTTCGGATATTTGAATTTTGGCAGTATTATTCACAGTTTTATAACATGTTTGATGGAATGGTTTTTGTCAAATCAATCACTGATAATTTTAAAATTTGTACAGTATGTGTAATAACTGTATCATTGGTAGAGGAAAATGAATTTCATCTCCATATTTCAAATAAGATAGATCATTAAGATAAATAGTAAACAAAATTGGACCCAAAACAGAACTCTGTGTCACACAAATATGTTTTTAATAATTTATAAACAACCCCACGAAAACCAATTCTCTTCAATTTTTCAAAAATAATGTATGATTGACTGTATCAAACGCTTTGGATATATTTTTTGTCACATTCATATACAGTTTACATTTAGATTAGATACGTTCAGATATAACTTTTAAATTATTTAATGTTTAAGATTTTTATACTATTATATCCTGTTGCCTTTTTTGGTTTTGATCAATCAATACAATTTATTATTCTCATTTTATTTATAAATTGATACATAGATTTTGAATAATGACACGTTAGATTTGATTTTGTACATGTTTTTTTAAATATTTGCAACAATTTTTTCACCTATTTTCCAACCCCATATTAATAATAATCTATAAATTGATTGGATATTTTTCATTTGATATTAAATTATCATTAGTTTGGATACATTTTAATGTACTACAATTTTTTTTGTCATTCCATAATTGCTTCACTGTGACTGATATTCTACAGCACGCAAGAAATTCAATAATTTTGTTTGCTTTTTAATAATTTCACAATTTTCACGCTGGAAACTTCCAAAGAAAGGAAGAAAAAAACGAAATAAAAATCCGTCAGTCTACCTTGAATTTGAATAAGTAAAATATACTTTTATTTCAGAGCATTTCTAGTAATTCTCTCTATTCACAAGAACTAAATATCACATTGAAAAAAATATCTGACAATCTGATATCAGAAATGGTATCTGATGAAGAGGACAGTAATAGTCAAGCTGGAAAAGTACTTAAACCTTCCCTGACACCAATGGTCGACTTGGGAAAGCCAGAAACATTACATGGTTTGGCCGAGAGGATTGTGGCCGTGGAAAGTCTGATTTTTTTATCGAAGCAATATGAATTTTTGCAGGACTACCTGGAACACTTGGTACCACAAACTAATAAGATAATGCTTCAACAATTTTTTTCTCAGGTAGGTACCTCTTTGTCTAATTATTATATATCCTGGAAAAATCAGTTTATACTATCACTATTCCTGAGATATACGAAGGTCCTTTCACTTGCTTTACTGAGTTGTTTAGAATACTCACTGGTAGGCGAAAGCCTTATGATTATTCAGATGGAAAAGATTTACATCAAGGAGAATTCAGGAAACTAGTGTGGTGATAAAAATGAATAAAATATCCTTATGTAACAAGTAATAAAGTTTATATGACCGAAGAATATATTAACTGTATGCTTACAACCACATTGTTGAATCAAACCGAATGTATAGTTCAAAAATATTTAAAAAACGGACATTGAAAATAGCAAGGTACCTTATTACCAAAATAACTTATTAAAAATCACAATTGAAAGTGGAAATCTCACATTAAAGTGTGTTTTTTGAATAAGTATCAATGGATTTCCATCAAATATCAGTCAGTTCTATCATATTTTCACCAAAATAACTTTGTTGAAAGATCGTAAAAATTTTAAAGAATGGATTTTCACAAAAGCAAACAATTTGAGAGCACGTTTATATGTTAACTTAGTTTAACTCTTATTTGCTTATTAGGAATAACCTATGAGGTAAGGTAAGACCTTATTAGTCCTTAGCTCGCACAAGTTTCGACTTCTGAGGGTTGTCTTTCGTATGGATGTGACAGCTGGTTAACAGAAAAACAGATTTTAAACAGACAGACAGAGGGTCTGTGTTAGAGGGACAGCCTTTCATTGCCTAAAAATTTTAATCGATTCACAACTAATATACTTCATGATTCCAGTATCCACAATCATCTTCTGGTGATTACTGACTTGTCCCCGATTATTTGAGACTACTTCTGAGTCAATTAGACTTACTTTTTTTACACTCTTTCGCACGTTTCAAATCTCAACACCAGGCCATACATCTTCTTTATTGTTATAATTTATATCGTATTTTTTTATCACTCACTATGGAAATGTCGAGAGTGACAAACAGAAATAAGTACAAATGTGAATAAATTTTATAGGTATGAAGTTTCTTATTCTTATTGAAACTTCCAATAAGACGAAATATTTCGTTTCAATTTGTTTTCAATATGTTTATTCCATGTCAATTTATCATCAATGTATTATCCTGAAACTGAAAATAATTTTAATACATTACATTGTACTTGTTATCATATCAACAGTTGACTGATAAATATATGATTTGGAATATAATTGATTTTCCCAAGTTATTTACATAGGAAGAGTGGTTTTTCATATAAAATTCCCTGCTTTCAATTTTCAGTTTTTTCTCTGTTATGATTGTTAATGTTTATATAACCTTTCTAATTCCTTACAATACTGTTGACCTTTTGAATAAAAAAAATAGTGAAACATTCTTTATTATTTTCATTTTGTCCTCAGTTTAAAATTCTTAAATCTAAAACTTCAACTTGAATCCGGTTAGTATATATCCTCCAGTATTCATATTAACTTCAGGATGAGTTCTATTAGGTAAAACCTGATAATTACGCATGAAACTATTCAATAGCCTGATGTTAACAATATCAACTCTACTCTTTAAATAGAAGTACAGGTCCTGCAGTGGTTCCTTTAGCAAACTAAACACCACAAAGCTTCTTCCTCCATTTAGAAATGGAAGAAGTTCCTTTACTATATTCACAGGATGTTCTTTTGCTGTAATTATTAAAGTGTCCACCTTACTTTCTAAAATTCGGCAAGCTCTTTCATTATCTAGTTGCCAAAACTTTTTTGTGTCAGTTTGGTCCAGCTTTGGTTTTTTTGAAGATGGCTCACCAACATCATCGCTTTGTTTTTCTTCACTTTCATTTGTTGCTGAGTCCTCATCAACTGCCATCACGTTTTCACATGTTTTAATGTCTTTATTGGATGTTTCTTCATTATCACATGCAGTAATATAACTGTCCTTACTTTGGTAAAAGCACCTGAGAACCGAATATAGGTTGACATTTATACACCTCTGGGCTTGCTCAGAAGGGAACTGCATAGCCATAAATGCATTTTTCTGACATTCATTTCCTGGATGCATATGGATGAGATGTCCTTTCGTTTTGAAACCAATACTACTTGTTATTGCAGCAGGCATTAAACCTGATGTTCCACTGTCATACAACAAGTGATTTCCTGAAAAAAATCAGTCTTGAAATTTTTTGCTTCAACTGAAATTATAATTTTGACACCTAGAAGTGCTTATTTTTTGAATAATAATAATAATTGTCTTTATTGTTTCCCAGTAGTTACATACAAATATTTGAATAAATTACAGAGCTAGTTGCTGATATAACAAAAGGCGAAATTCAACTCAGCATAGGTGCTACTGAGTTGTTCTTCCACTGTAACACTACCAGTAACATCTGATACTATAAAATTATGAAAAACACGTTTTTGGTGTCTTATTGTTGAAGTTTGATTTTTCAGAAAGTAATGCTGGGCAAGCAATCTAATTAACTTTTTAATGATAACATTCATGTGATCCTGTATGAAATTTTAGTCACAACAAATATGGAACATGAACTCTTTTGGCCTTGAACTTCAAACTTATTACTTCGAATATCATCTGTGAAAATCTATTTGAAAAAAGTGAATAATTAGTTTGTCAGTGCTAATCACAATGTTGATGTGCAAACTAATTTGTGGAAATAAATTATTATCATTAAAATCACAACGTATGTTTCACTATACTATAGCTTTTTCAGATGTGTTCCATGCCTGTGAGTATTGGACACATATGAAGAAGCCTTTGTAAGAAAAATGTTGCAATTTTTTAAACTTTTAGTAAAACTCGCACAGTAACGTTTCATCAAATACGTTTATCATGGATTTTCATCAAGCATTGGTCAATTCCATCATAGGGATTGAAATGATTGGAGATTCATGTCGAGAAATATATTTTTGTGAAGTCATAAACCCTTTATAATATTTCAATATGAACACGGAACACAAATATGTATTTATTGAAATATTTTTGAACAATTCAACAATTCTTGTTTACTTTATATTTTTTTCCACTACCTATCGTCAGACCTACCTTCAGGATGTATATTGGCATACGAGAGTATTTGAGACAAATCATCTATTCGTATTCCCAGTGTTTTCGTAGGATCTTGCCTATAAAACATTTGTGCTAATATTCTAATACTAGGTCTTTTTATTTGTATGTATTCAAAATATTTTCTTTCTTTCTTTCTAATGTATTTTTCTTGGCTATATCCAGTCTTCATATTGAACGTTTTTGAATTGCTTATGAGATGTTCTACAATATTATTTGAATTGAGTTCTTTATCCTTAAGCTTGTCAATATCTTCTTTTGTCAAACTTTGCGATTCTGCATTATTCGGTATGTGCCTATTGTCTGCTCCCGAAGTTTCAATGGTCACACCTTCTGCAGCAGAATTTGTATGTTCTACCTTTTCCAAGGTATAAAACCTTTTGTTTCCAGGCATGTTTTTCATTTGAAAAGTATCATGATAGCTTTCTCCTATAACATTATCCATTTCTATATTGAATGATCCCAATATTAGTTTACTGTGTGCTTTCAGTTTATGTAATTTCGTATAACCTTGTCTCTGAACTACCAAGTAATGACCAACTTCAATGGTACTTTTGTTTTCCTTTTCATTTTCCATATTTTCAGTTCGTAATGTACAAATTTTCAGTTCGTACAATGTTTACACGTTTTTCAGGTTAGAAATCTATATACCCGATAAACTAGGTTATACTCTTCTTCCTTTTTTATCACTTACAGAGTTTTTTGGGCATCTATCCATATCCTTCAATATTACGACTGTTTAAATTCAATTCTCTATCTGTTTAATGTCCACAAGTAAAGACCTCTATGCTTTAATAGCTGCATAATGTACTTCACGTTTATGAAAAGTGACATTTTATCTAGGTATACTCAGATCATGGGTATTTCTAGTTTCGATAGTCATATTATTTGACTAAAAAAAAATTGCTATGCTGTTCAGCGAAACATACTAATGTCTGAAAGTACGGAGATGATAAAGATAATATTGTGTCAATGGAAATAACTTCAACAAGATGTTGTATGGGTGAGGCTCGACATACAGCGAATAATTCTTTTTTTGACTCTTCCACTAAGAAACAATAACATTATCCATTTCTATATTGAATGATCCCAATATTAGTTTACTGTGTGCTTTCAGTTTATGTAATTTCGTATAACCTTGTCTCTGAACTACTAAGTAATGACCAACTTCAATGGAACTTTTGTTTTCCTTTTCATTTTCCATATTTTCAGTTAGTAATGTACAAATTTTCAGTTCGTACAATGTTTACACGTTTTTCAGGTTAGAAATCCATATACCCGATAAACTAGGTTATATTCTTCTTCCTTTTTTATCACTTACAGAGTTTTTTGGGCATCTATCCATATCCTCCAATATTACGACTGTTTTCGAGAGAACTATTACCAAAAGATGTCGCAGAAAAACGCAGGGATAACTAAGAAAATTTCATTTTGTATAGATAAAAACTATAAAAAAGTTGTGTTATCAATACAAATCCAAATTTTCAATTAGCGGAAATGATTCATTCAAATATTATAATTTTTTCTAATGAAATATGCCAAAGAAGATGCCCGAAGTCGAGAGTTTTTTGATTGATGGATATACTGCAAGTATTATTGGCAGGCACTAACTACCTGAATTTTGGCATGTTTTATGATGACGAAAAATATTGAAAAATGTTCAATTTCGTCCGATAAATTTATTGACAGAGTACAACGATACAGAAGATTTTAACACTTTCTGATAACGATCTATGGACTTTCTTAATGTTTTCAATATAGATTTTATGGAAATTTTATATAGGCCAAGTGAATACATTATAATATATATATGGTTTTCAGTGACTCCACAGTCCAAATGTTGAAAACCAGTGAAAAGTGCAAAATAAATTCAATACTATTATCATTCCTTATTTTCAAGGCATCTCTGAACGAGAAAAATTTTTGTTAAAAAAAGTAGATTTTTCAATTTATTACAGGAAATGAGACCCCATGATAGGGAAAAACCATTAAAATAACCTAGAAATGTTCGAAGACTATTTCAAAAAATTCCTTAACTTTCTTGTTTCTTTTCTTGCAAAATATATCGTACTCAGGGGTATATTTCAGCAGGAGAAACAGTAGCTACAACTTTGAGATATTCACATTTCATTCTGTTAATTTTTTATTCATTTATTTTATTGAATGTACCTGACAAGTAGTTATAACATGGTATCCACATCCTATTTTTTTTTTGTATAGGAACAAGGGCATGTAGTTTAAAATGATTTCATTGATACATTATCGACTGAATTGTATTTACATTGTATTATTATTTTTCAATCAGATTCATTGAGTTTAATGCCTTTGCATGAAAGATTATGAATTGGTACTTGAGTAAAAGTTAATTGTTTGCAAAATACTACAGAATTTACAAAAGGCGAGTAAGATTATTCAGGGATGTTCCATGGGCATACTTATAATAATAATACGTCAAAAAGTACTTAAAATTTCTGATTGATTCGGCCGTTACCATGTATAAAACAAATACCTCATTTATAAATCACAACAGAAAAATAAAAATTTCAGATTTTAATAATCACCACCACTCATCAAAGTTTTAATGAAACTTTTCACTGCTTCTTGAAAGTTCAATTCAATTCTCTATCTGTTTAATGTCCACAAGTAAAGACCTCTATGCTTTAATAGCTGCATAATGTACTTCACGTTTATGAAAAGTGACATTTTATCTAGGTATACTCAGATCATGGGTATTTCTAGTTTCGATAGTCATATTATTTGACTAAAAAAAAATTGCTATGCTGTTCAGCGAAACATACTAATGTCTGAAAGTACGGAGATGATAAAGATAATATTGTGTCAATGGAAATAACTTCAACAAGATGTTGTATGGGTGAGGCTCGACATACAGCGAATAATTCTTTTTTTGACTCTTCCACTAAGAAACNAGAATATTATTTGCTAATAAAGAGTAATAATAATAATAAAAATAATAAATTCTGCATCATCGATTTGCAATAATTGAATTTTCGTTTTCAGAACATTACCTGTGCTGCTGATATGAGGTATCCTGTATATATGGCTGTAGTTGCTAAAGCGTTTGATCTAAGACAAATTTTAATCCTGATGTCAAAAATAAATTGGGAAGTGAGAGATGTAAGATCAATGCATAATTCATATATTGATGTTATTTTGAAGGTGAGTACATGTTTCCATTTTTAAAAACGAATGTCACATTCATGAAACGTGTTCAAAGTATATTATTAATATATTTCCACTGAAGGAGGAAATAAAAAGGGTAACCTTGACGATATGAATAACTATAAAATAAAGCCTCATGTATTTTATTCAGTACTGTTATAATATATGAACTGAATATGAAAAACCAACTACAGCTGCCGGACTCAGCCGTGGCCGATGAGAAGCCCCTCCCTCAAGATGTGCAGTAGATGTGTAGAAATCTGTTATCAGTTTGTTAGATTATTCGAGCCGTAGTACATGAAATTGCAAACAAAAGTTTCTATCCCTTTTTTACTAATACTTTCTTTGCCATACACTGACCCAAACTTTACGCAGATACGATTTCTCCCACCGACCATGACTCAGTTCGGTAGTTGTATATGATTTTCTCTCTCACTATAGAATTTTCTCGCTATATCATCAACATGGGTTTATAAAAAATAAAAGTATTATAACAGCACTGTGCGATTTTCAAAATAATATTATTGGATCACCTTTCAAGGTGAGAGGCCAATCGTTTGAACTTTTCGAATCCTATCTGAGAAATAGGAAACATGTATATATATTAACCGGAATTTTTATATGGAACCGAAATTTTTCAAGGTGTTCCACAGCAAGGTCTCGATCTGATTTTTGCGAATGATTTGATTTCATTCCTCAATAGAAGATCCAAAATATATGCGACTTGTGATGCTGAAGATACCAACATTTTAATCATTGAAAATAATCAAACTAATCTCACGTTTACAGCTGAAATTGCATGTTTACAGGTGATTCCTTTCTGGTCTCTTTCTGGACGTATGTCACATTCTTCAGGACATCTTGTGCATCTTGTGATCCAAAGCCTCACATACACATTCAGGACATTTTGTGCATCTTGTGATCCAAAGCCTCACATTATCTCAAAATATGACGAGCTGTCTCTGTCACTTTGTTGTTTTGCCTGCCCTATTTCGTTTAGTCGTCTTTCTATCGGATAGTGCTTAGTTAGTAGCTCTGTAATTATTCTGAGGCAATCCCTAATCTCTTGAAGCAGTTCTTCGGTTCTCTTCTCAGATGGTCCATTTATAAAGATTTTCCCGTGTGTTTTTTCAGTAATGTCTATATTTCTTATAGACCTATCTGGTTCCGTACCAAAGATTTTGGTACCTTCACAGCTGGTTCACGGTTAATATATATAGAGTTGAGATCCGTGATCTTTCATATAAAGAAATTTGATTGGAGCATCCCTTGTTAAGATACAGCCCCTTAAAGGAGGTACATAAAATTTGTATAATAATTTTTTTCACAAGCACTAAAGAAGAAACAAAATTGAAATTAACCTGACGATTTGTACTACCA